ACTGTTTAATCTCATTTATGGATTTTTCTCTGAAATTTGCCATAATTTGTACTGACATGTGTATGTCAGTGTGGAGATTTTTACTGAAAACATATTTAAAATTTTCTTCTTCCTCCATTCCGGTTTCATTTCTGTAACCAAAATAAGCTTGGAAGATTCTTTTGTAATAAATTTTTGGATGTTCATTCTTGCCCTGCTTGACCTTGTCAGCGGCTGGGAAACCAGCAGGTCCCGTGCAGGGGTCGTACTCTCTGATCAAAGCTTCACACAGAAGGTTGTAATCCTTTCTCGTTGCATCAGGTAGACGCTCGATGAAGGTGAATACCTCTCTGTCCGAAGTGAGCCGTATCAGACTGATCTTATCCTCAACCGTAGCATTAGGATAATCCTTCAATCTGAATTCGAGATCTTTCAGGTACGCTTTTGTTCCAGTTGAACCCATCGGTCCAGGTACAAAGCGTTGTACATATTTTGAGAGTTTTAGCAGAACATCCATTGAAAGAGGAAGTTTCCATGCACTCTGTTGCATGTTTTGTGGAGGAGACCTGTTCAGGTCTGTTCCTACCACTTTAGGTGAGGGTGGTTGGATGAGTCTAAAAGCACCAGGTCTGTAAAAGATTTTTGGAGGTTTTGGTGGATTATCCCGACACTGTTCAAGGTCTTTTCTGGATTCCAAACCACCTCGCCCCACGTCAGAACTTTTATTTGTTGCTGCTCTTAGCTTCTCCTCACATGCTTTTAAGCGTTCCTGGGAGGTTTGACATTCACTTTGTAAACGCCTATATAGCCCCAGTAATGCTTTTTTATCAATTCTGAGTTCTTCCAGATCTTTTTTAAGCACATCTATTTCACCTTTGCAGCGGGAAACTTGTGACATTTTCTCGTCGTGATCCCGTCTTAATGCAAAGTATTCACTGGACAACAGCTCTTTAGCATCCCTGGCTTCAGATAGTGATGCATTAAGTAACTGTATTTTGCTATTCAGCGAATCAATTTCTGCATTTGCATTTTGCTGTGATTGAAACATCTGTTCAGAATGTTTTTTTGTGAGGACTTCGTGTTCACTTTTAAATTGAAGGAAGTGTTCTTCAATTTTCTGAACCACCTCTTTTTCACTGTCTAACCTTATTGCAAGGTAATCAGCTTTCTCAACAACCGTATAGAATGATTCTTTCAGCAATATTGCAATTTTAGCCAGCTTTTCATAGTTTGACATTGAAATTTTTGTAGAGGTCACACTCTCTGCAACCTCCTTCAGATTGTCCACTAACTCTTTTGGGTTCATGCTCTCCGCCTGTTTGCCATATGGATGTAAGGATCCTGTCAGCAGCTTCAACGCATATTCTAAACAGCCCTGCATCCCATAAGGATCAAAATCCTTTTCTACCACACCTGTCATGTTCATTCACTGTGTACCACTTTTTCTGGATAAAACAATTGCCAGCTTCAGATATTTTTACAGGTAAATAATTGTATTCAAATGTCAATGAGTTTCACACTATTTTAGCTTTGGGTTTACACAAAAGTACTGTTATAAGTCAACTTATTCAAATGTGGGTACCTATCTCAGGTTTTACCCCAATTCATGAATATTTAAGTAAATGCTTCTCTGGCAGTGTTACTTTTTATGTGCTTATTTCTTAACAGATACTAGATTACCAAGCTCTTTTTTAGTGTATTTTACTCTAAAGCACTGAATTTTTAATAAACCTGCAATTTTCTAAAAAGTCTCACAGCAAATCATTTTAAAGACACTTTTTAAACCGTTCTGTTCCAGAAATTTGCTATTTTACAGTTACTCATAGAAAGTGGTGAACAGATTTTGAATCTTTTCCTTGACTTTTAATAACACCTTACATCACAAACCACACCTCTGCTTTGGTCCATCCACCAATCAAAAAGCTCTCAAATGAACCGGAAGTAGAGCCCATTTAAATGTGGCAACTTCCCAGTTCAAGCAGAAGAGTTCAGGAGTTTTGGAATCCAGAATGCAGAGAGTTTGGGAGTTCCTGAATGCAGAACGCGGGCATTCAGGATGCTGCTAAACCAATCAAGCTGAACCAGAGACAATTTTGGGAATTATAACTTCTGTTTGGATAACCTCGCACGGCTCTCGAGGTATTTAGCTGTTCTCACTGAGACGCTGAACAGTGGTTGGAAGTGAGACTCCACGCCGGAACTGATCTATCTTCAGAAAAGGTAAAAGTCGACCTTCACCAAAAGTGTACTGTTGGGACAAGCTGATTTCCGAAGGAGCGTGCACGTTCTGGTTAAAACAGACAAATTCCCTCACACATCTCTCTGTAAGATAAATCTCAATTTTCCATCTTTAAACTCTCCTTTCTGCTAGAAAATTAATCCAGATGTTTTCATTAATGTCTGTGGTGAAGCAACGGAAAATCATGGCCGTATGGTTTTCCTGGTTGTAAAGCTGATTAATTATGTTGTTGTTTTCATATTCTGCCAAATTAATGTAAATGTGTGATGTGTTAAACTTGATTCTGTTAATAAATGACCCACTCGCTTGGTGAGTCAAAGATAATTAACGTCTCACGTCCACATTTCTGTTAAATTCAAAGCACGACATCATCCAGTCCAGAAAGATGAGTGAACCCGTTTAATGTATGAATATATCTCAGCATCTGTTCATCTACAACCAGCATCACCAGTAATGCCAACACAGTTTGGTAAAGTCTGTCGAGTCACCTCAACAGAAGTCTGGATAAGCACAAAGTCAATCTTAGAAGTTGTGTCTAGATGTTTTTCTATTATTTTGGTCTTCCCAAAAGCTTTGACTGAGTTAAGAGATGTAAGTAGAACATCATCTGTGACATCAGAAACACCACTTAAAACAATGGCTTTAGTAAAAGGTAAAAGGCATTTTCTACACCAAGATTCAAGCTCTACTGTATCTTTTTTTTTTACCCCGAGCAGAAACACAAACAAAATAATAATAATAATAAAATGGCAGCCTAGTAGCCAAAAATTGGATTCAGTCCAAAAATGGGTAACTACACACAAAAAATCTTTATACAAATTGATCTAATTATCATAAAACAGATCCCGGACAAGCCCCCAAAAATGTAACCCTTTCACTACCTAGCTCGTTATATTTTGAGATTAGCTATTCAATATACAGTAGGTCCCAAATGAATTCAAGTACCTTATGGTGAAAAATGCATTCCAATGTAAATCCTGATGCATTCTCAATAATCCAGGTAGAAAAATCCAAAAAAGTTCAATCTGGTCCTCTGGACATTCAAGAAAAAAAAAACAATGACATTTTTTTGAATGTCCAGAGGACCAGATTGAACTTTTTTGGATTCCAATGTATAGTAACTGTGTCTTGAAGGATAACTATGATTCTCAAGAGGTTTGACCACAAAACCAATATAATATAACAGTATAACCTAAAAGTTATTTTTTACAGTGTACTGCTGAATGAATAAATGAGATTCACACAAGACATACATTTTTTTTTCTTTTGTATTAAACATATGAAAATCAGAACATGAAATTAAACAGTTGAAATAAATGGATGAATTTAACCCTCGGTTTAAATTTCAGTTAGTTTCAGTTATAAGAGTGCACTCTTAATTTTTTTTATTTGTTTTCTCTTTCATGTAAGTTTGCTCATAAGTTGGTTGGTGTGCGTTGGAGCTCAGATTATTTGTTGGAAACTGTAATCCTACCAGCCTGGAATATTTCCTCATCCTCACAACGCGTTGAAGGTGCAACCACAAAGTTTCAGACCTCCCCTGTGGCTCGCTCCACGAGGCAAGTGGACAGCTTGATCCCAGTGCCACTCGTCCTCCTCTCGTTCGGCTCAACGGCGGCAGCTCAGCTCTGATCCCGGCGTCCAGTTTGACCACGGATTCCTCCACAGTCTTCTGAGCACGAAACTGAGGTCGAAGCCAGATAAATGTAGCGTCCAGCACGTTTTAAAGTTTTTTTCTCAGCTCCCAACGGTCTCTCTGTGCACGTTCCTTTACTCCCCGTTGCCTGCCTCCCCCCACCCACACTTTTTCACTTCCTGTTAATCCGGATTTAGTATTTGTTAACTCGTAATATAAATGATGAAATTCTTATCTACATTCAAAAACTATTATTAAACTGTTAATTAGAATATGTATTTTAACAAGAACTCTGAAATAATATATTTATCCAACGTATTACAAAATAAAACACATTCAATGCCTCAGTGCACTACAATAAAATTAAATGTATTTTCAATAAATGTCAACAAAAAAGGGCAGCACGGTGGCGTAACTGGTAGAGCTGCTGCTTCTCAGCGAGCAGGTCCTTGGTTCAAACCCCGGTCCAGGGGCTCTTCTGGGTGGAGTTTGCATGTTCTCTCCATGCATGCGTGGGTTTTCTCCAGGTACTCCGGTTTCCTCCCACAGACCAAAAACATGCATGTTAGGCTGATTGGTAACTCTAATTTGTCCCTAGGTGTGAGTGAGAAAGTGAATGGTTGTTTGTCTCATTTGTCTCTTTGTGGCCCTGTGATGGACTTGTGACCCGTCCAGGGTGTGCCCTGCCCCTCGCACAGTGATTGCTGGACATGGGCACCGGTGACCCCCATGACCCAAAATGGAATAAGCGGGTAAAGATAATGAATGGATGGATGGTCAACAACAAAAAAATTCTGACTGTAAATATAATCAGGTTATGATGGATGGATGAATGGATAGATAGATAGATAGATAGATAGATAGATAGATAGATAGATAGATAGATAGATAGACAGACAGACAGACAGACAGACAGACAGACAGACAGACAGACAGACAGACAGACAGACAGACAGACAGACAGACAGACAGACAGAGACAGACAGATAGATAATTAGTGCCTCTCCTGGACAAAAATCCACCAGCCGCCATGGATGGATGGATTTTCTATCTGTTCTATAGTAACACAGTAAACTTCCTTTAAAGTTATTTGCTCGGTGAGTAAATCCCAAATTAGAAGTAATATGTACATTTGTTGTTCTACAGGTGAGTGGCAGCCAGCCATCCATTTGCTCAGAGACTGGGAGGAACCTTTACGATGTGTCAGAGGTGTGTCCTTGGGAAGTGGAAGAAGCTCAGATGCCTTCTGACCCAAAGACCCAGAAGCATGTGTCTATCGCTCCAATGGAGATGAGCCAGAGAGGCAGCAGCAGTTCTGGAATCACCAAAACCAGCCGACCCCAGCAGAAACAGACGCATGGGCAGTCCCCTTCTAATAAAAGGTGCTCCAAGGATAAAGGTGGAGACCGGGAGGAAGGAAAAGATCTAAGGAAATATCAGCCTCCCAAGTCACCTCTCCCTCTGAAGCCAGACCTGTGTCACTCAGAGTTTGATGAGCAGCCCATTCTGGAAGCAGACTCCGACTCCATCTCTCCTGACAGGATCAGGCGCAAGAAAAGTGTTACGCCCACTGACGGGAAACCTAAAGGGCTCCACTCAGACCACTCCAAGTCCACGGGCAGCCTGCTACAGCCGCCATCTCTGATGGTGGAGATCTGCCCATGGGATTATGCCAATCCACCTTCAGCAAAGCAGGAGAAGACCTGCAACAGTCCCACCACACACAAAAGGAAACGGAAAGGCTCATCTTCATCCAGCCGCAAATCGGAGAAGGAGAAATTAAGGGAGAAAAGCAGAGAGAGGCGGAGCTCCTCCAGCAAGCCTGTGGCAGAGAGGAGGTGGGTAAGCCAGTCATCTGAGGTCAGTGAGCCTGTTTCAGAGTGCCGTAGGAGCTCCACCAGGGACACAGAGGTGTTCTCCCATGACACAGAGCACTCTCACACACACAGCAGCTTGGCTCAGACTAAAAAATCCCCGGAGAGGAAGAAAGAGTGGTCCCTGCGAGGTAGTTACAAAACGGCAGTCCTCGGCAGTGCAAAAATGGCTGACGTTTGTCCCTGGGACTTCCCCAAGCAAGATTCAGGGGAGAGAGAGTGATGACTGTGGGATGATTTGATCTTGGTTTTCTACTCACTGACTGAGCATAGAACAGACGACAGCGTGTTAAATCATCTTTGGGTTTTTGTAAGGAACATCACAACAGCACCCAAGTCAACCTTAGGGAGGACATTTTGAGAGACATTTTATTTTATTTGCACCATCACTTGTACATTCTGTCAAAATTTGTCTGTTTTGTTACATTTAATACAGCTGAGAGATTTATGAGTCAAACCTGCATTTCATGGCAGAACAGGTGACGAATCATCAGAAACAAGTGAGATCCTGACCTCAGCTCACTGTAGATGAATGTTAGCACAGGGTGTTGGGAACCAGCAGGGGAGGGTAAGAAAAGAGGATCTGAGCTCTGAGAAGCAGGACCAAACAGCTTCTTCACACAGTGATATTACAAAGGTCTGGTACCACAGCTACAAGAAGAAAACTGGATGATCTTCGTATATGGTGTGAGTTATTGCATGTGGATAAACTGTAAAGCATTAAACAGCTGAATGTGTTTTCTGGTCAACTTGTATTTTAAAACAACCTTACAGTGGAAGTTCTGATGTTGTCTCCAGTATTTGCTGACTGGTAAAAACACACAATGCTTCAGAAATGGTGTATTCTTGTTGAAACTGTTGAGCTAACGCCCCCTCGTTGACCCTGCTACTATATAAAAAATGCAAGCAGTATGCCAATTTTCCCCATTGCTGAGTGATTTAAATAGTGAATGTTTGTAGTTCTCGAGATGAGTGTTTTTCTCGACTGGAACTGAACAGGAAATTCACGTAAACCATAATGTGTTTGGGGCAAGATATTCAAGTGGGGAGGAGTTACACTTCTTTTTTCATGTTCGAGGCAGCTCAGACTGACAGATCCTGGCAAGTGAAGGGAACAGTTTTATCCACAACCAGGAGAAATGGTGGAGCCAGGGGGTGGCCAATGGTGGCCTTGCCCCCCAAAGATTTATCTTCAGTTACAAAACTAGAAAGCATATTGTCCTTAAATGATCAGTTAGGCAGCACAGTGGCACAGCTGGTAGAGCTGCTGACTCTCAGCAAGCAGGTTACCCTCATTCAAATCCTGGTCTGGTGGCCTTTCTTGGTGGAGCTGTCATGTTCTCTCCGTGCATGCAGGCCTGGAGTGGCCAATCGGGAGGGTCTGAAGATTTCCCGGTGGGCTGGTCTGATTTGTGGGCTGCAGGACCAACACTCACTATTTTTTTTTTTTTTATAACTTTTTATTAACAACATATAAACATTGAACACACTACCACTGCTCCTGGGCCACTCTGCCTCTACCGCAGGGCCGGCTGCAGATCTCTTTTCTTTTATTTTCTTTTTTCCACAAGTCGACTCCTCTGCACGACCTGTCAATCAATCCAGTAGGTGTGTCAGAAAATGTCCAATTGGTAACCTCAATTTGTCCCGAAGGTAAACACCCCTTACCTGAGGCTGCAGCCTGGACACTTTACAGTCAGAGGGGTTTGTGAAAAATCACCAGAACTAAAGGTTAAACAGTGTCAGTGGATAACAGGCAATCCACACACAAGTTATCCTGAGCGTTTAAAGGGTAGGATACAGTTTAATAAATTTCAAAAATTAAATGAAGTTTGGAAAATATGTAACAAGCCGGGGACCGGCCCTTCAGCTGATCACAAGTTATAAACAGGAATTAGCTACCACACGTTCATCCCTATGAAAGTAACTGCAGGTAAATCCTCCATTTTCTGTCATAAATACATTCTATGTTTAATGGTTAAATTAAAGGTTTATTTGTCATATGCAGGTTAACACAAGATTAACAGTACAATAAAATATTCAGGATGAGAAAAACTGATTTGACTCACTAAAACAAAGAACAAACAAACAAGAACTATGAAAGCATTCAATAAGGGTACAACATAAAGTACCAAAAAGTGAAAAAGTAAATACAATATTTACAAGGTCCTAAAGAAAAAATAGTTAACAACATGGTCGAATATAATGGTGCAAGTAGGATGAATTTGTATGAATAAGTATTTCAAGGTAGTAATATAAGCTAAAATTCACATGATGTATACTGCACATAACTAACAAACTACACAGGTTGTGTGACAGATTATTGCACAGGTATTGAGTAACATTGAGATGAATTATGATGGTAAGGTACATACATGATACAGCCACATAATGCATTAGTAATAAAATATTAGGTGTCACAAGCTAATATTAGTCATATTAGTTGTCACAGATGTGGCTTGGTGCAACGTTATTGCCAGTTGTTCAGTGTTATTTATTGAGTTCAGTAACCTGACAGTTTATGGATAATAATTGTCTTTGAGTCTTTGAGTCTTTTCGTATGCGATGACAGACTCCTGTATTGTTTACCTGAGAGTAATAGATGGAAGAATCCTTGTGCTGGGTGGGTGTGGTCCTTAATGATGCTGCGTGCTTTACGCAGACATTGGCTGTGGGAGATGTCCTGGATGGTGTGGAGACTGCTACCAGTGATGTCCTCTGCTGTTTGCACCACCCTCTGTAGAGCTTTCCGGCTCTGACTTGTGCAGTTCATGTACCATCCTGTGATGCAGCCTGTCACCAGGCTCTCAATGGTGCACCTATAAAAGTTGGTGAGGATACTGGAGTTCGTACTGAGCTTTACATTTCCTTGTGGGCGAAGCAATCTTACTGTTCATGTAAAATATTTGATAATGTTCTTATAGAAACAATTCCTGAATGTTGTTCATTCTGTGTTAATGCTACATGTTTGTCAATTGACTCTACAACTGGGTAAGGTTACAGTAGACCTAGCCAATTACTGGAGTTTTAATTTGGCTTTTTAAGCTACTAATAAACATGATGGATGATGATCGTATTGCGTTATGCTAGGCCATTGGTAAGAAGGAGTGATTATTATTATTGTTTCATATTGACTAGTGATTCAAATCAATGAAATAACAGTTTCTGTCCCATGAAGGTCTTTAGGGTCAGGTTTTGACCTGAGGCTTAGTTCACTACACATGAGAGAAGCGGAGCGTGCTCTATTCACACAAGGAGAGCTGTTGGTCAGGCTACTTCTTGTTGTGCCATTAACTCTAAAATAGTTATTGAATCAAGTATTACTTATGTAGGCGAAACTAA